GCGGACAGCGTTGTGTAATTCCTGTCAAAGTGAGACCTCGTGTGAAACAGCGACTTCATAGCGCACACACAGGAATACAGGCCACACTCGCAAGGGCCAGAGAATATGTATTTTGGCCAGGGATGACAAGCGATCTTACAGACTATCTCTCACACTGTGAAGTCTGTGCAACCTTTGCTCCGAAGCAAAGAAGTGAACCTCTGATCAATCATGACTTGCCGAAACGTCCGTGGCAGAAACTCGGTATAGACTTATTTGAGTTGAACAACAAGAACTATGTTTGTGTTGTGGACTATTTCTCAGACTACTTTGAAGTTCTTCCTCTGCCACACAAGAAAGATACCAGAGCAGTCGTCAGGCGACTAAAGAGCATTTTCGCATGTCACGGTATCCCAGAAACCATTATGTCGGACAATGGTCCCCCATTTAACTCTCAAGATTTCGCGACCTTCATGCAGGAGTATGAGATTGAGCACATCACGAGTTCCCCATATTATCCCAAGAGCAATGGGAAAGCGGAGAGTGCCGTCAAGATTGTGAAGGGTCTCTTACGTAAGACAACTGAAGCTCAAGAAGATTTTCAGCTAGCTCTTCTAAATTGGCGTAACACACCCACAGCAGGACTTGATAGCTCGCCAGCTCAACGCCTGTATGGTCGTCGCACTCGCACTCTTGTACCAACCGCGTCCAAGCTTCTGATTCCACGCACACAAAATAGAGTTGTCGCAAAGAAAGCGGAAAAGCAGAAGCAAAAGCAGTACTACGATAAGAGCACGAAAGAGCTACCACCATTGAAACGCGGAGATATTGTTCGTGTTCAGCCGCAGTCTAACGCACAGAGTAAGCGATGGCACAAAGCGAGAGTAGAGAAACAAGTTGATTCCAGATCATATCTAGTCAGGTCAGAGAATGGCAATATAGTTCGACGAAACAGGAAGCACTTGCGCACATGTAGTAGCACATTCAGTGACCAGTCAGATATATTCTCCACGCCTACTAGCGTAACTCGCGAACAACCAGAGCCATCAACATCCGAAGCGAAGCGTAGCGACACAAATTCACCAGATCACGTAGCGAAGTCTCCTCGTCGCGAAGCAAATAATGATATTCGCGAACCCCAGCTCGCTGAAGAGACTCAAGAACCACCAAGACCAGCTCGCCGTAGTACCAGAGCTCGCCATCCACCAGCTCACATGAAAGATTTTGTTGTTTATCATTAAATAAACATTATGTGTAACTACTTTATATAGATGTAGACAGACAACTATATATTTGTTTCATTAAGAGAAAGTTAATTGTTTATACAGGAAAGTCACCTGTTAATTAACAAGAAAGAAAGTTAGTATGTTGTTTATATTGATTGGTTGATGTTGTTTAGACAAATCAAAACAAAAGTATTTGATTTTGGATCTATTTGAAATTTGATGAAGATGATACATAATCTAAGCCAGTGTTCCAAAGGACTAATCGAGAGAAAACAGAATTTAAGCTCATATGTATTGTCTCAAAAGAACAACAAAACCACTCAAGTGTAATTATGCATCCATGCTGAAGTTGATTTATTATGATACTATTTCTATAAACACAGATATTTCCAGAGGATTTATAATTAGATTTATGTGTACTGACATGGGCATTCATACATGCATTTCAGGCCGACAAACTAATATACAGGTATTAACTTCTTAAAGAAGGAAGGATGTTATATATGGTTTAGAGTGGCAGTGCGCCCTCTTGTGTTATGTACTGACTTGACAACCAGAATGAAGATTACTAGAATAAAGCACTAACCAGTTGAAGTTGTAAACTTTAAACAGACTTTATTGCCTATTATGTAGAGTCAAACAAAAGCATAAAACATAGTTGTCTTTTGTTAGGTATTTTTCTTTTAAAATTATTGTTACATTTCCAGCTCACCTGAGCCAAGGACTCGCATCCTGTCAGTTGTGCGCTGTCCATCCTGCCGCATCTGGGAACTTTTTTTACATTTTTATCAAAATTGAATTGTTCAGTTTGAAGTGATGATATACATGTGGGGGCTTGACAAGAAATAGCGTCAAGTTAATTAATTAGCATGCTGAGAAGAGCATCTATCCCCACAGGGCTCTTGTTAATGATGTTACATTTTTCTGACATTGTTTTGTTTCATAATTTTTCTGTACTAGTTACATGTATTGTATTAATTATTAACTTATATCAGTGCCCGATGCACTTGTTTTTTAGTTCATGGTTATTACATGAGAAGAACGGTTTTGTCCATTGATAAGTCTTTTTAGTACTGATCTGCTCTATTCTCTTAGTAAAATTGACCGTGTCCAAATACGTTGGAAAAGGAAAGCCCTAGGATAGATCTTCAAACTTGTTTACAAATTGCTTCCTACGTCATTATGCGAACACATTTCTTTAAAAGGATGTTCTTACGGGCTCAGAAATTCCGGCCATAAACTATCTTTAGGAAAACTCAAAACAAACAATGGGATTTATCTATACGGGTGTCCAATTATACAACGTGTTGCCTGAAAGAGTATCTTTTCTCAAATCGTAAGCTCTTTGAAGCAGAGGTAGATGCATTGTACCATTAAAGTGTCAGTCTCCCCCCAACCTCCACCTCCCTCTTTCTCTTCCTCTCTCTCTCTGTCTTATGTTCTCCCCTTCTCTTCCTCTTTCTCCTCAGACTTCCCCCTATATGCTCTCGCGTCCTCTTCTTCCCTCATCTTTGTTCTCCTTTTCCCTTCAGTTACTATACAAATGACACAGACATCTTACATGTATTGTTAGGTTTTCTTGTTTTTATTATGTTTCTCTCATTGTTATCGTATTCATTTCATTATCATGCTTAATTAATTATGCTTATTATTACTAGGTTGTTTCTCTGTGTAGTTCTATTCAATGTAATTTCTGTATGATTTATGTTTAAGTTTTTTACCGTGGTTAAATAAATTCAATCAATTATTCAATGAAGACTTTTTTTAATTGGTCCCGACAGATGAGCAAGCTCCCATTACATAATAGGTATACTATTATGTTCCCTATGGCTAGCCATCTTTGTAGAGCCACCCAGGTGGAGTAAAACTAAGAGATCAAAATGTCATCTGTCCATAGTGCTTACAAAATGTGAATAATTTAAAAAAAAAAAAAAATTTGGTGGGTATATTGTTCATGCATGGGGACCCCCATATTTAGCCAAAATCAAAGGTCATGTAAGTATTTTAATATTCCAGCTGTCACTTTAAGGACAATTATACCCATACATCATTAAAATAAATATTTAACTTTTAAGCAGATTAGTGAAAGTTTGAGCAAAATTAGATGATCCATTCAAGAGTTATGATTTCTTGAAATTTGATAAATTCCACGTCGCCCTCTCTTGATAAGAATTTGTGATGTCATAGGCGAACAGCAATAATATACAAAATTTAGGGGAAAAAAAATCACAAAAGGTCATTTTTCTTGGTAATCAAAACAAAACTTGACCTATCTCATTCAGAAAGCATACAAAAGATATTAACCTCTACATATTTCAATAAGATGTTGAGGGATTCCTCACTGATTCCATGTTCTGATTCCTGAAATCAAAGGACTGTGTTTGTATAAATCAGTCTGTTGTCGAAGTGTTATTTTTGTTTACTTGCAATTAAAGTTATACCTGTCATTCATCTTGCTCGTTTCCCAAATGTCTTATGTGACAACAATAGTGTTGGATGTCCATGTTTTTGCCTTCTGTGTCAATTTTTTCTTCTTCTTGTAACGTTGCTTTTCATGTGTGTGGGTGCCTATTTTCACCTTTACATCTATATCTATTGAAGATGAAGTACCACTGTGGAGCAGAGAAATAACTGTTATGTAACAATTAGATGGAAATTTATAGAAATTCGAAGACAAGTAAAAAAAAAAAAAATCACAATTTCAGACATGTAATTGTTCAAATTCAATAAAATGTCTTTTCAACAGAAATTTCAAAGCATACAATTGGTAAATCCTTACATTAGCAATAACTGAGTGAAAAATCTTTTCCAGCACAAATTGACAATGCATTGATCAAGAATGTGTTTGTTTTTTAATTCTTAATGTAATGCATCACTTTTTATGTACCTTCATATTAACTTGTTCTTGGCAATTTGATAATAGAATTCCCCCCCCCCCCCCTGAAAATAACATTTTGAGTCTCTGCCACCACAAGGCAATTCAGGTAATTCCCTAAATTGTGGATTGATGTTTATTGTAATTTTAGTTGTCAATATTGTGATGGTGGTTATTACGATGATGAAGATGTAACAAGTCGACTTGCAACCATTGTATCTTAGCTTCCTAACTTTAAGGTATATATATTGTACTTGAAGGGGACTTCCAGACGATTTTAAAGCTTTAGTGTCTGGTTGTACATGTACTGATCTCCTTGACAAAGAATACAAAGTGCACAATTCTTGAGCAAAAAGAAGATGCAGTATTTTGAAAATTTGTAATGATGACACAGGTTCACATTAGAATGCAAATACATCGGCTCCTCGAGGAAGCATGAAGAAGAGAAAGGTACAAGTTCAAAACACACAAATTCAAACGGGTGAATTGGTTCAGAAAGTAGTAATGCAGTAAAAACAAGAGCAACGCTAAGCGTCGCATCCCCTCGCCGAGTACAAATTACCTATACGTTAAAACAAGTTACCTCCAGTAGACTTACTATTATATTACTACGCAAGGAAGTTACTAATACCTGGAGATTGGATGTACAGAAAGTTTACTACTTTATGGAATATCAAATTTCATTAAAATCTGTCAAACATTACTAAAGTTATCGAACAGAAACCATTTTCGCATATTTAATGAGCTATGACCTTTGACCTACATACTCCGAAATCGAACTTAGGCTGTACTTTGATACCATGTACTTTCATATGAAATTTCATTGCGAGATCTTTTTGCGTTAAAAAATTATCACGAAAAATGTCGAGGGGGGGGGGGGGCTAAATTTAGCCCCCCCCCCCCCCCCCCCCCCCCCCCCCCCCCCCCCGGGCTATTGAGGGTTAAGATATATTTTGCTTCAGGGGTTTCAGCTTAATTTCCTGAATGCATATATTTAAAGCAACACAGTAATCTCCTGCTTCAGATGGATGTACAATTCTAAGGCATCCTGGACTTCCATTGGTTGATCAAGGTTGTCTCTTTTCATAATATACACACACAAGTCATATACATCTTTGTCGCATGGTACGGTAGATCGGAATACAGCATCACTTATGCATGCAGCCAGATCGTCATCATCAACATTGGTGCAAAGCTGATCTTCAGTACCCCAGATTTGTGGAGTATGATACATCATCATTGGATGGCCACTTGGTACATGGAGATTCACAGAGGGTCGGATACGGTGATTGTTCCATATATCAGCCATCTTGTCTAGCTCTGTCTGTAAAATAATTTGTGAAACAATACTACCATGGTGAAATTACTGTGTGCAACGAATCTGATAAATACAACTTTAAGTTATTAGTAATCCAATTACGGCAATATAGAACTACTTGATTAAGAACCTGATATATTATACAACTTTAAGTTATTAGTAATCCAATTACGGCAATATAGAACTACTTGATTAAGAACCTGATATATTATGGCCATATTCTTGGTCTAAGTCCTCTGCAGTTAATTGTATTGTGCACTCACAATATATTGTACGGTACACATATGCTACTGAAATGCCCCAATTTTATGCCCTAAAAATTCTGATGCATGTAACTTTCAGATTAATTACATGGCAAATTTTCATATTTTTGTTCCAGAGCCCACAAATGTTGACAATAAGTGACAATACTTCACCTTTTCAATTCCATTGAATCATGCTTCGTCTTTTATCCCAAACCTTCAAATGTGACACCGGGCTGCCTCAGAGGAGCGGCTGCCATGTGAGGAATGTAATTCACATGGATAAGAGTTCTTTGCATATCCAGCTTTTGTGGCAAGTAAACTGTTCCAAAGCATTACATTATTCAACATGCCTTTACATAGTTAAGTCAGATTTAGATGTAGTTCCAAAGCACATTTTGAGGTCTGAACTCCTTGGATCTTTAGTTCCAGTGAACCCCCATTTTTGGTGAGCCCCCTAATTTTGCCTCTGCTGTACTTGTGGCACATATACCTACATGTACATGTACCAGCATGTGGGGTGAATGCCCCCAACCCTCATAAAATAAAATATATTGTAAATGTAATAAGAAACACAATTTTTTCAATGACTAGATTCCAAGTTCTGTCACAAAGATGCATGGTAACCAGTGCTTTTCTAAATCATTAAGAAGAGTGAAATGCCTGGCCAGAAAAATTAATTATCATTTGGGCATCACTAGTAAAGTAAGACATCATTTGGGCATCAAAAAACATCATTTTGGTACGGTAAGCAATAGGCACCATTTGGTGATCAGGAGGCATCAATGGTCATCAGAATAGGCACCATCAGAAACTGGCATCACAGTCATCATTCAGGCATCACGGCATTATTTGTTCAGAAGAAGGCATCATTAGTCATCACTGTGAAAGTTTCTAGGACAAGGCTTTATGATGCCTCCAAAAATTTAAGTTTTAGTCACTAAAAAAGCCTTAGAGAGGAAGCCTTTTTGATAGCACAACTATGAACAGGTTATGAATGGAAGTTTATCTGACTTGACTCGGGACGTGTACATATACAAACAACATCATGGGGGGGGGGGCTGGAGCAACCACGCCCTTTCTGATCTCGGCCGTGGATCGATGCAACATTTTCCACCAATGTACAGTCTGATGCAAACTACAAGACCGTATAATAAATTTTTCAAAAACTCTATTTTTAACTAATTATGCAAATTTATGCAGAAAATCATATTTTGCCATCTAAATCAATTTAAAAAGGTTGAACATTCCTTATGACATCTGTAACAATTTTCTTAACAAAAAAAAATGCAGTAGCAAAATATTTCTTTGTCAAATAATGTATTGTTTAATGAATATCTTATGTATTTCTTTGTTTTTGCAACCTTTTGTTTTATTTGTTTATATTTTGTATAATTCTACTTAAGAAACTTTGATAATTCAGAACAATTTACATGTATTTGTCAGTCAGGGTCAAATGTTACATTGTATGGGTCGGAGCAGGTCAGGAGAAAAAAAAAACCTAAATGATTTACATGTATGACCATTTTCCTGATATCATTTCTCTAATGCCAATTTGATGACTTCTGATGCCAATGATGACTTATGATGCCTGATGCCAAATGATGGCTCCTGATGTCTGTATGATGTCTGATGCCAAATTATGCCTTTTGATAACTGTTTGATGCCTATTTGGCCTATTTGCCATTAAATCTAATGTTATTTAGAACTATTATTTCAAGGGTTTCAAGGGTTCCAATTGCTGCCTTTTTGATGACTCTGATGCCTCCATTGCATCAATGACTTGTAAATCAGTCATCATGATGACTGTTCTTTCTGGTAGGGTGCTCACCTGTAGAATGCTCATGAAACAGAACTGAACAAGATTCTTGTCTAGAAAGTCTCCAGTGAAGTCCCCTCTGTCTGACAGCCTTCTGAAGGTCTCAATCCAAAAATGTGTACATTCCTTCCGCAAAAATGCCCACCAGTATTCAATCCTTTGATTGCTAGTGCTTGATCCTTCGATGTACACTCTTCGTTCTAAGTCATAATTATGATGAAAGAAGTTTTGAAAGGCACAAATGTGTCCATTTTCGGTGCCACGATCAGCACGAACTTTGCAAGGGAAGCCACCACATTCCATAACAGTTTCCAAGAAGTATCCTCCTACTAATTTTGGATCATTGTTTGTATTATACACATTCAACCACATTACTTTTCGTGAATAGCCATCTATGCATCCACTGATGCATAATCCAAACGGCTTTAGTTTATCATATCCATCAACGTGCCACACATGATTTGGTCCTTTAGCAAAGTAAGAACGTCTGGTTAGTCGTCTAGCTGTTCTGGCTGCTACGCCTTCTGGATCCAGATACTTTAAAATGACACGAACATCCTCCTTTCTCACATGCATACCATTCTGTCTGCATTTAGCATGCATCATGCGGTATCCGTGCAACTGACCTGACCCTTGAAGCTCATGCTCAATAAACTGTACCACATCAGCTAAGTTAGTGTAATGTCGGCGACGAAAGTTATTCAGAGCTAATATCCTCTTGAGATGTCTTTCACTAAGTTCTATGCCATGTTCTTGTGCTAATTAGATATAAATGATTTCCTTATAGGACATTCCCAGGTTAAAGTACAAACTGATCAAATGATCACGGCCAGCCATTGACTGTGTTCAGCGGAATGCTGACGCTGATGCTAATGCTGATCTTGGCTTTGATTAGTTCTAAGCTTTCCAACCAAGTCAACCGACTATTGGAAATCAATCTGATGTCGATGTGCCAGAACATATGTATGAAGGAACCTAGAAAGATAAAAAATAACAAAATATTATAACAATATAACAATAATGCTATTAGTAAAATAATAACATTTTAGTCATACTCATAATAATCATAATAATAACTAGAAATATCACTGAAGGTGATTAATACCCCCGCCCCGCGCAGTTATTCATTGCGTCACAGTATGTTTTGTTTTTCAGTTTTTGGAATAATATGCCGTTACCATGGCAACACACATTCTGTCACTGTCCCAAAATGTGTCCTACACATCTACACTTCAAAGCAAACATGTGTGCCAAGTTTAATTTGAAAATGCATTTTCCCCTCAATTGTTGGCATAATATGTCGTTACCATGGCAACACATTTTCCCCCATTCTTAAAAAAGTTTCTTGCACATCTACACCTCAAGGCCAACATGTAAAAAAATTGATAAATCTGTTCCCTTTTCCATTTAGCCCCCACCCCTGATCCTAATGAACCCACCCCTGATGAAGGTGACAATAGCTAATCTTGAGCCTTCTGTTCATTGAGCTTCAAATCAATCCCAGAAAGTCATACCTGAATGAGATTAGCTGGGTGGTCAATGCTGTGCTGGAGGCTAGGGTGTGTATGCATGGGTCACAGCTGCAGAAAACACCCTACAAAAATTGTGCCTAAAAAGAGAATTTAAGAAAAAGTCAGTAAGTGACCTGTGCAATTAATACCCATATCAGGGCTGCACAAGAATTAGGTCATAAGTTTCAAGAATAAGGTTATGTGCCAACCAATGCCCAGAAAATTGGATTGTTTAGGTCTATCCTAAAGGTACGCTACAGCTCTAAGAGTCTATCAGTTCAGTACGTACCATCTACAGGTCCTTTGGATTCAAAATTACTGAGTCTGTACTCTAATAAGTAATCAATAGTCTGTCCATCATCAAAGGTGTTCAAGTCTAAGATTGAGAAGAGCCACCTACGATTCAACTATCTATTCTTTGCGCCCTCTCTCATCTGCTGCAATCATATACCAACTGGTCCAGCATCGTATACATCCAGATCCAGAAATCGTTACAAGTGTTTTCAAAACTTTTTCCTAGAACTTATATTCCATTACCCCTCATCTTGCTGCCTATTCTTCTATCTAATTTAATTTCTTATTTCAATTCAGTTTCTTTTTTTAACACTTACACTGAATAGGATTATAAGAGGAATTATCTTACTTGGAAACTCTGGATAGAACCCTTGTCCTTGTCCTTCAATTGGTGAGCTGAGCCTGAGGGATATTTCTTCTCAAATGCTGCCTCAGTGTTGCCGAAGAACACGCTGAAGACAGAAAACAAAGAAGCAGTGATGATTAGTGAGGCAATTTTTTTGTTACCAAAATCATTAGCTATTCTTTTTTGGAAGATGGGAGATGAGTATGTGGTCCATGCATGGATGGACCATATACATACATGTATGATATAGGGTCTAGAGCAGGCCTTCTCAACTAGTTTATTAGAAGTGCCAAAACGAAACGAATTTGTAGTTGAAGTGCCACCCTGTATGGTTGACTGAGCTGCGAGGGAGCGTAGCGACCGAGCCGAAAATGGTTGGGGTCCAGGGGTGAAGCCCTAACGGGGGTAGCAGGGGGCAGAGCCCCCTGAAGCTGGTGGCTGGTGGCTGGTGGCTTTCTAAAGGCCCTAATGGGGCATTTTTAGCACCAGTTCATTCCACAATATAATCAATCATAATTTCATATTGATGTGACAAAATTAGTACAATTCCTGGGTACAATTACACTGGAGGTATATTTATATGTAGTGTTTTGTCTGCAATAAACATAGGAAATGTCAAAATAAAGTGAAAATCAAAAAAAAAAAACAAGATGTTTCCAGAGATTGGCAATGTTAAAATTGGTATCCCATCGTAAGCTAATTGTTGTTCAGACCTTAGGTTTAGATTCGTATAAAATGGTAAAAAACAATAAATTCCCCTTTCTTCATGTTTGTTAAGCAGGCATTTTGGGACCAAATTCGACTGCAACTTCTTGATTTAGCTGAGTATTTGATTCTAAAATATATATTTTCTTTCTTTCCGTTTTTTGTTTTGTTGTTGCAACAGTCGCGCGCCACTCCGACTGACCGCAAGCGCCACAAGTGGCGCGCGCGCCGCCAGTTGAGAAGGCCTGGTCTAGAGTCTACTCCCAACTAACTTATATAGATGTAGATCCTACACATGTATTAACACTTATGTATGACATTAGTTTAAGTTTGTCGATGTTTTAGCCAGGCATTAAGTTACTGAAGAAATACAATGAATACAAAATTAAAATATTGAAAACACAATCAATAATAATAATAATCCGCTTTTTTATAGTGCTTAAGAGTAAGACATTAATAATGTATCTAAGCAGTTTACAGATTATTATTACCCCGTCCCCGGTCATCGGATTCAATCAGGATTGCCCGCACACAATGTATGCACATTCTCCACTCCCTGGGGGAGTATTCCAGCCATGCATGCAGTCTAGGTCTAGTCCTTATTTATAATATTTCAAAACTTATTGATTTTCTACACTCGTAGTTACTAGTACAATAAACCACCCCTGCAGGCATGGGGCTCACTACGTTAGCCCCATGGTGTATACCTATCTAAAACGCACAGGCAACAGTGTTTTTCCCCCCAAAGAACTGGTTAAATAAACTTTTCATGCACACTGGTTTTTGTTTATTAATCTTGCTTTGCATTTGTCAAGTAACTATTTCAGCAACATTTAAACATTAAAATATTGTAAATTTACTGAGAAAAAAAAAATAAAAAAATAATTTTATCAAATAGCTCAACATGTTAGCAATGAAAGTTAATATGAAGACAGTAAATTTATTAAATAAATAAATCCTCTATTTTTAGTGCTTCAACATACTCAACAGTGTTGCACTGATGTTTTTTTATTAGCCTCTAGATACGTAAATGTAAACATTTTGACAAAATCCCAGTTACTGTTAATGTTATTACATGGCTAGAAGTGTAAGGACTAAGGGCGACAATAAACCTACTAGTAAACTGGTACCTAGCAAATAATTTGAACAACATAGTCATAGAATCTATACTGTGGCGGAATCAAGGGGGGGGGGGGGAATCGGCCATGGCCCTCCCCTTCTCCTTTTTGTTTGCTTGTCAAGAAATATTTTGGGTAGATCTAGACTAGATCTAAACAGACACTTGAAAAAGCTAAGGATCATTTTTTCCACTTTTTTCGCTGGTCAGCGAATTTTTCTGGTGCCTGATGAGGCCTAGACAGGAATAACCATCTTTCTGGGGGCATTCTTTTGACAAAATGACAGAGCTCAGAGGCATTTAGAGAAGCCAGATATGCAATCTCAGCGGATCCAACCGTCAACGTCAACGCCAAATAGAGGCTGATATTTCGGTCCAACTTCGGCCCTCCCTTTTGAAAAATCCTGGATCCGCCGCGCCGCTGAAATAGATCTAGATCTATACTAAGACTAAGTTGCGGTGTATTGCATATTGCATAGTTGAATCTAGATCTAGACTCTACACACTAGACATCAATAGCCGTGGAATATGAGGTTTTTTTTTTTTTTACAATTCTGACATTTGCTTGCTTTTTCCTCGTATATCTAGACTAGTCTAGATCTATACATACGAAAATTCCACACTTCTACTGCAATGCGAGCACGTAAAAAAGTAACGTCTAGATCTAGTTTACTTTGTCTCTAGCTTGCAAAATGACCACAGCCTTCCCAGCAGGCCAAGCCCAAGGCCAGGGTCCCAGACCCAGACCGCGGAGAGCCTGAAGCGTCGGGCCCCAGAACAGGGCGCTTCCGATGGGGACTGCAGTCTGCTAATTGAGCAGTCTTAAAATTAACGTTACACAGATCTAGAACTGATCGCGAAAAAGAGCAAATCTGTTAAATTAGCTGTTTGTTCACTTTTACATTGAATGACCCGGCCATAAATAAGTAAAAGAAGTGAACTAACCTTCAATCCTCGCGATTGCAACCGGCAACTTCTGGTTGAATTCAGTCGATCTACCGTAGACGTAACTTAGTAGTACATACGTACAAGGCCTGGCATGGCATGGCCGCCTGGCTATATACGCTATTACTGCATTAAGCAGCGAGCGCGCTAGCGCCAGCGCGCGCAGTCTAGTCTAGCCTCGCGGGTATTATGTTGTTAACCCGTGGACTACTGAATTCTCTCACTCCCATAGGCTTAATACAGGGACCACCCGGTTCCAGTATGCAATGGACTTATACGAGATACTATCTCATTAAAACGAGATAACTATCTCATTAAAACGAGATAACTATCTCATTAAAACGAGATACTATGTCGTTTTAACGAGATACTATCTCATTAAAACGAGATAACTATCTCGTTTTAACGAGATAAAAATATTTTTACCATGTCCCTTCCCGGGCTCCGTAATATGTTGATTGAGTACACTTTTCTGGGAAAATCCTTTCTTACAATAGCATCATTCATAGGGCTTTTCACCTGTGTGATTTAGGAGGTGTAGGGTAAGATGGCTTTCCTTAGAAAATCCTTTCTTACAATAGCAACATTCATATGATTTTTCTCTTGTGTGTGTTCGTAGGTGTCTGATGAAATTACCTTTGCGAGAAAAACTTTTCTTACAGTGTGAACATTCATATGGCTTTTCTGATGTGTGCATTCGGAGATGACATTGAAGATTATTTTTCCAGGAAAATCCTTTCTTACAATAGCAACATTCATATGGCTTTTCTCCTGTGTGTGTTAGGAGGTGCTGGGTGAGATAGCTTTTCTGAGAAAACCCTTTGTTACAGTATGAACATTCATATGGCTTTTTTCCTGTATGTGTTAGTAGATGACAATTGAGTACGCTCTTCTGAGAAAATCTTTTCTTACAATGGCAACATTCATATGGCTTTTCTCCTGTGTGTGTTCGGAGATGACGGTGAAGAGTACTTTTCTGAGAAAATCCTTTCTTACAGTATGAACATTCATATGGCTTCTCTCCTGTGTGTATTAGTATATGTTGAGTGAGTATACTTTTCTGTGAAAATCCTTTCTTACAATAGCAACATTTATATGGCATTTCTCCTGTATGTGTTACTATATGACGATTGAGATCATTTTTCCGTGAAAATCCTTTCTTACAGTGTGAACATTCATATGGCTTTTCTCCTGCATGTATTAGTATATGTTGATTGAGTACATATTTCTGAGAAAATCCTTTCTTACAATAGCCACATTCATATGATTTTTCTCTTGTGTGTGTTCGTAGGTGTCTAATGAAATTACCTTTGTGAGAAAAACTTTTCTTACAGTGTGAACATTCATATGGCTTTTCCCCTGTGTGTGTTCGGAGGTGTTGGGTGAGATTTCTTTTCTCAGAAAACCCTTTATTACAGTGTGAACATTCATACGGCTTTTCTCCCGTGTGTGTTTGTAGGTGTCTAATGAAATTACCTTTGTGAGAAAAACTTTTCTTACAGTGAGAACATTCATATGGCTTTTCTCCTGTGTGTGTTATGAGGTGTTGGGTGAGAGCACTTTGCTGAGAAAACCCTTTCTTACAATAGCCACATTCATATGATTTTTCTCTTGTGTGTGTTCGTAGGTGTCTAATGAAATTACCTTTGTGAGAAAAACTTTTCTTACAGTGTGAACATTCATATGGCTTTTCTCCTGTATGTATTAGTATATGACGAATGAGTTCATTTTTCTGTGAAAATCCTTTCTTACAATAGCAACATTCATATGGCTTTTCTCCTGTGTGTGTTCGGAGATGAAGATTTAGAGCACTTTTCAAAGAAAACCTTTTCTTACAATAGCAACATTCATATGGCTTTTCTCCTGCATGTGGTCTAAAGTGGAGAAGGGGATGACTGGCCTGACATGATCTCTTACTGCAACATGGACACTGATGTAGCTTTTCTTCAGAATGTATCCTCAGATGAATGTCGGGTTGATCTTTTGTGGAAAACACCTTGCCGCAATGTGAGCAAAGATGAGATTTACCTCCACTGTTGATTGACATTCCACGATCTACCGTCTCTTGTCCGTTGTCAACAATATCACCTGGTGGCGAGAAAGAGAAAGCTCATGTCATCGACAGCTCAGATACAGTGTAAGAAAGTACATGATTGTCCCGTCACTTCAAATTGAGACAGAAGTTTTTGGATTATGTTCTGAACTTCTGAGAGAAAAATGTATATGGCAAAATGGGTGAATTGGTTCAAGCATGTTGAAATGATTTTTTTTTCTTCAAAATAAAAAGGACATTAATGTATTTACAATTTTTCCACTTACAGAGCAAAGGAAGAACCTTGGATTTTTTCTCGTACCCATCATGTTTGAAAAGAAGAAACGAGGACCAGTGGGCAAGCACAGGATGGGAGATGCATTTATTGACTGTCAGCTGGTGAGACTGATAGATGCATACTAAAAGTATTGACCTCTTAAGCTATGGTCACAAATCTGACCAGCGACCTACCGATCAGTAGCCTGCTCGGTCGCTGCTGGAATTTAGGCATCGCCCAGCAATTAGGTCGGTGCCCGGGCGGCGACCGCCCAGGCACTGAGCATATTTTGGACGTCGAGTGAAAAATGAGCAGGCGCCACCCAAATTTTAACTCCGCGTTAAAACCTCAGCGGCGACCGAGCGATGCCCTAAAAACGAGCGGTGCCTGGGGGGCCGCGGCTCGGTGGCCGGGCAGCCGCCGGGCAGAATTGGTTAAAAACTCGCCGCTCGGCTGCTGAGCAGGCTACTTTTGGGTAATGTGACCATAGCATAAGAAGGGAATTGAAATCCAGAATATTTAATGAAACTCACCTGCGAATTTTAGAACAAAATTTGATAAACGATATTCAAAAGATATATTTTTTCAAAGCTTTGATTGCATTTCATATAGTTTTTTTTACTATTCCTCATGGATTAGCAGCTGTGTGCTGTCATGGCCACACCAGTCCATTGGTTTTGTGCATAAATTTTTTACAATTTTTCACTTTGGGTGATTTATAAAGCTGTTGATCTGACTTATTGAGAAATGTGTGCGAACCTATATTGGTCCAAAAATTTCATTAACAAGTAGGGCTGCATGATATTACAGTAATATTTAAATATTGCGATACTGAAAAATCAATCAATAATCAATACTGGATTTTGTTAATATCCTATATATATCCCCTTTGGTGGTTAAAAAAATATTGTTATCCAATATTGCAATTTAGAATGATTGAAGCTGTTCACTACTTTATTCTGACAGAAAATTATAAGAAAGACATACAATTATGTAACGACTTTCATCGCATGCTGTAGGTATCTGCCATGTGGGGAAACAAATCACATGTTTTATAAATATTTGTAAGAGGATTATTCTCTGGAAGATGATATATTGTGATAATCGAATAATGAAAATTGCAATATCGCATAACCCTATTAACAAGTACAGGGATTTCGTATTTTTCATTCAGAAAAGCATTTCTGCAGATTTTTTTTTTGTTCAAAAATTTAATGTAGTGCAGCATGACTTACACAGTTGCCAACTTACAAGTGCACAGCAAGTGTATTGTCCCTCTAGTTTTATTCTCATCCCATGCCACTGCAATCCAGTTACAGTAGTGTAGAAGTTTGTGTGTATTATTGTTATGATTAGTGGGATACTTTTTCTGAGGGCATAATTTTGTGACTCTGTAATAACTATTTAATAACTATTTCTTATATGGCGCTTTTCAGGACCTATCAAAGCGCTTTACAGATACATAGATTATTACCCTGGTCATCGGATTCAGGCTTACCTGCACACAATGTATGCACATTCTCCACTCCCTGGGGAGCATTCCAGCCAGGCATCATTTCTACAAGCGCACACTTGCTAATCTAAGCACATTGGCTTTCGCATCCTACCGTCTCTCTTTTCTCACATACTCTCTTTCTTTGTTCTTTTCTCATCCCTCTTCTTCTTCTATCTCTATTTGTTCACATTCTCTCTTTCTTTGTTCTCTTCTCATCCTATCCCATTCTTCTCTTCCCCTATGCCTATTTATTAAAATGACACTTTTTTAATGACACATATTATCTATGTCTGTAATTTTCATTTAATATGTTAGCTTCTTACTTAATTTTGTTCTTCCTAATTTATTCATATGAAACCTTTTATATCATATATCTTTATGCTTGTTATTTTATTTGATGCAATAGTTTGTTATCTAAGTTTTGTATTTTATGCATGTATGTCATCTTTAACTCTTATCATGCCACAGGGCTAATCCCCATTGTGCTAAGCCCCAAATCCCCCTGTGCCAGGTTGTTTTGGAGATAATCTGATTAACGCGATGGTTCTTTGAATAGCGAGTGCCAATTACACAGCACAGTCCAATGAGCATGAACAATAACTGCTATTACGAATGCTGCATCGCACGCACATGGCACTCAAGCAGTAGCTCTCTCGCATGTACAAAACACTTTAACGATAGCGTGCATGCAGCCTTATGGCAGGCTATGAGTTAAGTAGTTTTCCTATGTATTTACTGATGTATATGTATTTGAGATCTGTTTTATGCTTTTTACACAAACTTGCTGAAAAGCAGTCTTTTTAGACTGATGAGAGTTTACCGTGAATAAATAAATTAATTCAATTCAATTCAATGTCCCTTTTGCAGCCAACATCAAATTCTGTACAACTTTGAAGGAATAATAAGCATGTCATGTATGTCGACTCTTATCGGTGAAATTAGAACGTTAGCAGTGTCCTAATATTCAAATTATGCAAGGAAACCCGTTTACCTGCTAGACTTCAATGTCAGACACTATTGAGTGACTGACTGGCTTTTTTTCTTCTTTGATAATTAACATCCATAAAATGAGCTGTAAAGGGTACATGAGCATTTGTCTACATCAATAACTCACTTCTTGTAATGGCCAAAATTTAACTGATTGAATCTTTGCTTAGCATAAAACGTACAACCATTCGGTACAATTACTTACTGGCTCTATAGCTCTTAAGTCGATTCAACAACTAATTGTTATTTTCCCCCTTAAAGACATTTCAAGCCCCAACTGCAATTTAGGGAAGTTTTAATTTAGTATAATCTTTCAAATGCCGTTGTAACTTAACCTTTTCATTTTTGGGGACTGCAAATTGGACATAGTATCTTCAAGTCAGTTGCTAATTACCATATTCATGAATACCTATTAATTAGCATATGAACAAAATGCCATGTGCTTCAAAAACCATGTGCAACATTTTCGGTTGTTGAGGCTAAAAACAAGTAAAATTATTAATAAATAGAGAATTAATATCATATTTCCTGTTTTTTACATATTTACCAGATGCCCATCTTATTTACCGGACGGTATTTACCAGTATTTACCGCCGGTAATTACCGCCACCGGTAATTATCGCCCAACCCTGTCCTGATCAGACCTTATTGATAAAGATAATGATAACTACTGCGATAAATTGCTCCCAAATCGTTCTGTTATGAAAGTGGAAAATGTATTTGAAATTTGTTGCAGATGTAAGACAGACATTGACAATATATGCTAATGAGCCTGCCTTAACCATTTTATATTGCTATTGGGATTGCTCGGCCAATGATTCTTTTTTGGAGCAAGCAGAAACGATAACATCTGTAACCCAATAATTGCACTTCTTTGAAGTGACGCAGTGACAACAGTATTTGACTGACACAACTAACATTTTTCTGGTGAAAATTGGTGAGGTCTTACCACTAAATACATCTTGCAATATGCACATATACTTTATCGTTTATTCGTTATCATTATCGGTGTGGTCTGACCAGGCCTTTAAAAAACCTCATTGTACTATAGATTAAACCTACCTTCTGATGCGGGATGTTCAGATTCCTTGTCTCCATCAGTACTTGACACAGGATTATGGGTTGTACTATCTACTTCATGATTGATTTTACCTGAAATAAATCATTAGTGTCGGATTATTTAAAATCAGTCTTTCATTATTAAATGTTAGTGCAGTCCTTCGAGTTCCATCTGTACGTGTACAAGGAGATCACAGCAAACAAAACATATTCATTGGTCCATTTCTACACTTACAAATACGGCAGTCACACCCTCAATGGAAAAGAATTAGTACTGGTAAGTTTAAAATTGCTGGAGGCGATTTATTAGGTATCTTTAGTATTCTTCATTTTGATGATCTGCAATGCACAATCACTTTGTGTTTAAAGGTATTACAAAGTTTTGGGACATTTGGAAATTGGGTGAATAGAGATTCTTTACAATTTTGATATATTTGGATGCCCCTGTGGATGTATTATAAGCACTAGAAAATTCAGCCCATAAAATACTTCTGATTTCAAGAAAAATTGAATATAGAAATATACCGGTGCTCCCGGTAAATTTGGATAAATTTCAAAAGCGCCTACTGCCGTACAGTGGTAGCTGCGACCATCAAATCTCAGAATATGTAGTTGTGATATATAATTTCCAAACAGGAATAACTAATCGGTCGATTTTAGTCAAGAAACATTGTTTTATACATGTAGCTTAATTAATATCTTGACCTTGAGAGGGAGCTATACAACATAAAGAGTTTATTATTTACAATTTCATGACTTTAGACTCGATTTCAACCGCGACAACGATCAATGAATATTGTAGGATCGCATATGCTTCCAATATGTTCATTTGAACCAAATTCATAACCCCATACCAAAACTTTGTATTACCTTTAATAGCTGATAATGTCAAGGGACTAGAGACTGCTAGAAGATTTGTGTTGGAAAACCAGAACAAGTGAATATGAATTATTCACATTGACTGTATCTTGATACATTTCATCAGGTAAATTCCCATCATTTTTAGCATCACTTGACAGATTGCTTCAAGATAGCCCAAGAGGCCTTGCACGGTCATGTCCTACAAATGATGGACATATGGTACTGTGGTTTGTAGAGTCTGAAGTACCTTGCGCACTAGGTAATGCGTGAGCCATTCATCACGTGAGTCACAGAGCCACGCCGTATTCACGCTACTTCATGCATCAGCATCTTGTAGCGTTTTACACGATCCCACATCTTCACCTCAGCCATTCATATTGTACGAAGGTGCGGTATGAATTCGTGAAACATTCATAGCGCTGTGTCCATTGACGAGGGGCAAGCTAGCTGAGCGTGGCGTGACATGCATCGACAAACTTGGTATCTAGTATTTGTCACTGTACTGATCATTGAGCGATCGCGAGTACAAGATTTGTTGGCAAAAGTTCGAGTTCGGAGACGCCTATGTTCAAATTTGAATTACGATAGATTGTTTTTGAGTGTGTGTGTACATGTTTTTGGAGTACTGTTTTAAGCCTTCTTTCATAAACATGATTACATACATGTATGTCTTTATCAAAACGATTAAACGAAACCACTCATTTAAAGTTAACAATTAAACATTTAGCAAAAGAAACCTTAATGACTCGGGGATATTTTGTACACAGGTTTCAATGGAATATCAATTCAAGTAATACCTTCTAGACATGATGGAACACCTTCCTCTTCACTTTCTTCTTTAGGTTCTTGCTTGATGTTGATTTTGAGGGGTAACTGATCGATTTCCTCTCCAACTGTTGAAAAGGCCTCTGCTTCTTCCTTGATGAGAACTTCTATGACTGATGGAATGAATTCATTCATGGGTGACAGGTAATGAATGGCATTGCTATAAACCTCTTGCTTGATGAGAACTCCTTCAACAAATTGAATAGTTTCTGTTGAGCTTCTATTTGGAGTTGGCGAAGTATGTAAGGTCCAACTCTCTGCTTTTTGCCTAATGTGTTCTGGGACTGATGGGGCAGTTTCATCTACACTCTGTTCAGTATGTTGCAAAGATTTTGAGGTCTTACTTTCCATTTCTTGCTTGTTAGTATGTCCTAGGGTTGTTTCTATGCACATATCTACAGAATGCAGTGAACTCAAGGTCCTGCTCTGAACTTTTTGCTTGACATTATCTTCTGGGACTGACTGAAAACCTTCTGCTGCACTCATATCCATTGTTCTGAGAGGATTTGATGCCCCTCTGGGCCCTCTCTCTGCTACTTGCTTGATCATATCTTCTGGGACTGACTGAACACCTTCTGCTGCACTCCAAACCGTTGTTCTGAGAGGATTTGATGCCCCTCTCTCTGCTACTTGCTTGATCATATCTTCTGGGACTAAATGGGCACTTTCTGCTACACTTCTATATGTAGTTTGGTGATGATCAAGTGTCCCTCTCTCCATTTCTTGCTTGACTTCTGGGAATGACTGAACAGTCTCTGCAAGATTTGCAGGCTGCACTGAATTCAAAGTCCTCACATCTGCTTCTTGCTTTAAGCCTACATTCCCTAAAAATAGCGAGAAAACAAAGGTGTTTTACAGCATATTCTTGCAAAGGGAACAACATATGGAGATAATTAAGCAATGCTTTCTTGTGAGAAATCAATCATACTCTGAGCACTACCAATATATTGAAAATGTATAGTAGTAGAACGTAATGGAAGAAGTAGTGGAAGTAGTACAATTAGTAATAGTAGTAGTAGTAGTAGAAGTAGTAGTAAAAGTAGTAGTAGTACAATTAGTAGTAGTAGTTAGTAGTAGTAGTAGTAGTAGTAGAAGTGGTGGTAGTGTTTTACACAGATTCACACACAAAAACAAAAAGTTTTGATTTATGCCCCTCCACCTGGCGCTATGCCTGGCAATGTCTCCCAGCTCAGTAATCTGTGTGTTGACTTACCACTCGGAAACTAGAACATCACTTAAATTTGTCATCTTGGTTGAAAGTAATTTTTCTAATAGATCTCAATATGTAGTTTATAATAATAATTCCTCCAATTTTCCTTCTATTCATATTCATATTTATTTCATTTCCAACAGAAAGGTAAACAAAGATATTACTTCTTTTTATTTCATACATAATTCATTTTTTCAGGAAACTATACAAATAAATTTTGAACATAATAAAATTATTACAAGAAATTCTTAATTTCTGAGGAAATGGGGGGGGGGGGGGTCCACTAAAAAGCAGTGCTTGTAGTTTGTGGATCCCCCAGAAAAAAAATATATAACTGTTTCAAATTTTGCCTACGAAGACTTAGAAAACACAAGACAATATTACAACACAACAGACAACCACGAAACGAACAAGGAGAAGTAAAACAGATAACAAGGAAAAGGGAAAAGGGTAAGAAGAAAGAAAGAAGCAGGGCAAATCAAGACCGGAAAAAGGAAGTTATAATGTTAATTTTGGGAAGGTATGGGCAAACGTGACAGAACGTAATTGCCGTGGATACGGAGTCAGATTTTTAAACTGTCAAAAAATTTGCCACAGCAGTCACGGTGCGGATGAGAAACCTAGTAGGCCGTAGTAAAAACTTGGAGGTGGTCCGTAGTGGGACCGGATGCCCACACATTCCCCGGCATCTTACGGACTTTTCAAAATTCAAGTTTTGTCACGTTCTGACATGTTTAGTGCACGTTTTGTCACGGTTGCTTCACGGTTGCTGCGCATTTTGTCCCGTTTTGCCACGGTTTTCACAGCAGGCCAGGGTGTATGGTAGCCGTTTTGTCGCGTTTAATCACGGCGCATCCCGGCGTCTGAAGGTTTACGTTCTGGCACCCGTGGTAGAACGCGGGCCAAACCGTAGTGCGCCTTGGAGCCTCCGGGACTCAGCATCCCCTTCACCCCACGGCCCATCACGGATACCGTGGTAGACCATGAGAAAACTTGGCAAGACCTAACAAAACTTGAATACAGAGATAAAATGGTTCTTAATCCCACGGCACACCACGCTTCGGGCAAAGGGGGCTGCTGTAGCCGCTGGAAACATAGTGTAAACTTTCTTTTAAACTTTGTTTTATTATAAATATATTAGTAATTAAAAAGTTAGATTTTGGTATTGGCCTCCCTACTCATCTTTATGTGGACATTTAATGAATATTTACTTCATTTTTGGTAGGTTTTAGTAGTATCTCCACGCCAGGCGCGGATCCAGGGGGGGGGGGGCCGAGCGGGCCTTGCCCCCCCCCCCCTTCCACAAAAAAAAAAAAAAGAGAGAAGGAAAGAAGGGGGAAAGGGAAAAAGGAGAAAAAGGGAAAGAAAGAAGAGGAAGAAGAAAAGTAAAGGGGGAAGAAGGAGATCGGGGGGCCGAAAGGGCCTTGCCTCCCAGGCTGTTAACCCCCCCCCCCCCCCAATCAAAAAAAATAAGAGAGAAGGAAAGGGAAAGAAAAAGAAAAAGAGGAGATACTGGCGTACTGATAGAGGGGGGGGGGGGGGGGGGGGGATTGGGGGAAATCAAATTCAAACATGGTTTATTTCTAATTCCACAACGGTGGATTACAAATAATGCTGAAATGACATAATTTCCGAAATTTTTCCTCACTTTTTTAGTAAATTATACGTTTGTATATGTGTTTGTTGGAAAATGACAAATTCCTAAATTTACAAACAGGCAAAAATATGATTCTTGAGATTCCTACATGTCAGGGCCCGAGGAACGGCGGGGATCGAGAGCCTCGAGGCATCAAAATATGCTCATCTGACCGTGATTAAATGCCTAAAACCCGTAAGTTTCCGGGGGCTTTGCCCCCTGGGTTCCATCTAGGGCCCTACGGCGGGCCCTTAGATGATCATCTGACGGTAATTTAATGCCTAAAACCCCTGATTTTTTGTGGCTCCGCCCCCTGGACCCCACGCCAAATAGTGACTTGCCAGTGTCGCAAAATAATAAGGTATACACAAAAATATGCTCATCTGACCGTATTTTTTTGCCTTAAACCCCTGAGCTTGCGGGGTCGGACAAGGTATCAAGATGTGTTTATCTGACCGCAGGCGCGTAGCCAGGGGGGGGGGTGGGGGTGGGGGGGGGGCGGTCCCCCAATCGGAAGAGGACGTAGGAAGAAAAAGGAGCAGACAAAGAACATCTTTGAAATTCAGACAAGGATTAAGAGTATAGAGAACGGTACAACGCATCGTTTTCTTTCTCTAATAATAAAACGTCAAAGCCTCGCGCAGGAGAGGAGGGGGGGGGACTGAATTGAGACGAGGAATCAGAGGAGAGAACGGTAATTCGAATCTTTAATTATTTAATGAAACGTAAAAGCTTATGCGCTTCGCGCGGGATGGAGGGGCAACTAAATTCCGATGAGGATTATTTTTGAGAACGGTACAATGAATCGTCTTCTTCTCTAATGATTAAATGAAGATTAAAAGCTTCCGCGCTTTGAGCGGGAGGGGGGAACCTGAATTCAGACGAGGATTAAGAGTCGAGAACTGTACAACGATTCGTCTTCTTTCTCTAATAATTTAATGAAACGTAGAAGCTTATGCGCTTCGCGCAAGAGGGGGAGAGGGGACTGAATTTAGACAAGGATTAAGAGTCGAGAACTGTACAACAAATCGTTTTCTTTCTCTAATGATTTAATGAAACGTAAAAGCTTCAGCGCTTCGCGCGGGAGGGAACTGAAATCAGACGAGGATAAGGGTCGAGAACGGTACAACAAATCGTCTTCTTTCTTTAATAGTTTAATAAAACGTCAAAGCTTCCGCGCTTCGCGCAGGAGGGGGAGGGGAGGACAGAATTTAGACAAGGATTAAGAGTCGAGAACTGTACAACAAATCGTTTTCTTTCTCTAATGAGTTAATGAAACGTAAAAGCTGTGGGGGGGGGGAAACTGAAATCAGACGAGGATAAAGGGTCGAGAACGGTACAACAAATCGTCTTCTTTCTTTAATAGTTTAATATAACGTCAAAGCTTCTGCGCTTCGCGCAGGAGGGGAGAGGGGGAGGGCTGAATTTAGACAAGGATTAAGAGTCGAGAATTCTACAACGAATCGTCTTCTTTCTCGAATAATTTAATAAATCGTAAAAATTTTCCGCGCTTCGCGCGGGAGGGGAAAAACTACATTCAGACGAGAATTATTTTGAGAACGTTACAACGAATCGGCTTCTATAATGAAACGTCAAAGCCTGGGGGGGGGAACTCGCCCCCCTTGCACCGACCCCCCCCCCCCCCCCACCCGCCACATTACGTCACTGTTGGTCACCATAACGTACCAATATTTGGTTCGCATAATTTCAAATTTGGGCCCCCCCTAAGAAATCCTGGATCCGCGCCTGCTCCACGCCGGAGTTACGGGTCATATTAAAGGGATCCGGAACAAGCGTCATCCACTCTACTAGCTCCAGCAAAGCATAGATCTAGGTCCCGTATTATAAAACAGTTATAATACGGGGCCCTGGTCATACTTGAGTCATTGCATGCATTGCTAACTCCAGCCTCCAGGGAGCTCCGACGCGATCGACGCCGAGTTACATAGAATCTATGTCTACTTACGTTCATTCTTGGGCTTAGTATGGAAGAAATTGCAGTTAATTGCCATCAAATTCTTTGACAAATTAATTTGGGAACATTTGAATGCGATCTCCTCTCAGGTTGTTCACGGATCCGAGATAAGTTAGCTCGGTATTATTCAGTATTTATCGCTCCTCGAAAACTGGCGACCATTAAGCCCACGACCAATGAGAGGAGGATAGTCACAAATAATGGGTCCTATAGTGTCTCTAAATCGTATAATGGAAAAGGAAAAGGAGATTGTTGCTCGTCTAGGCTGACGGTATATATTATATAACAACAATAGGAAATCTAATCTCTTACTAGTAAGAGATTAGATTTGGATTTTAAAACTATCTCATGACATTTTAACTAAATGATACGAAATCGCATGAGATGAAATATATGAAAAACAATGGAGCGACCAAGCGAGGATATGTCTGCAGGCGCGGATCCAGGATTTTCCAATAGGGGAGGGGGGCCGGAAATTTGAAAATCGCGCAGACCGTTTTGGCAACTCGACATACCAATACTGACAAGGTCATAAGAAGCAACATACCTGTACAATTTTTGACGTTTACATCGGGAGGGGGGGGGGGAGCCTCTTGCCCGAAAAAGTAACTTTCTGGTTTCACAATTCGGCTATAGTGAGCGAAGCGAGCGAGCAAAAATTTGAGCATAATATATATTTTGTGAAACTGTTATTTATCACCAAAATAAACGAGAAAAGATATCAAAAATCATATTCGGCCAGCTCGCTGTTCCCCCTCCCCCCCCCCCCCCCCCCATTACGCGTGAATTAGCGCAGAAGCTTTAATGTTTCATGAAATTATTAGAGAAAGAAGAGGATTCGTTGTACCATTCTCGACTCTTAATCCTTGTTAGAATTCAATTGCCCCCCTCCCGAGCGAAGCGCGGAAGCTTTGACATTTCATTAAATTATTATAGAAAGAATACAATTCGTTGTACCGTTCTCGACTTGTCAGAATTTTTAGAAATGTTTCTTTGTCTGCTCCTTTTTCGTCCTCTATGCCCCTACCGCCCCTGGTTACGCGCCTGCTTTAACCCTATTCCCATTGGGGGGGGGGCTCTTTAGGCCCCCCCCCTCGACATTTTTTGTGATAAGTCTGAAACGCGAAAAGCTTGCGCCATGATTTTATGTGACTTTTTTGTTTCAAGTCTCGCGCAACTTTTGAGACCAAATTTGCGACGACCGGGTGTGTGGTTACGACGTTACGCGCGTTTGAAGAAAAAATTGTCAAGCCAAAAATGGCTCAAAAACGTGAATTTCATGTACAAAGTCAATGTAAATTGTGTATTCAGTCAAAATTCATAAATCTTTGTCTATTTTTCCTTTCACTGGCTGAAACGGTTAAAAAACTCTGCTTTTTATGACTCTAATAATATCACCAACAATTTCTATCGAAAAAACAATAAAAATAATAAGGTTGAAAAAATAAAGAAATACATAAGAAATTAATAAAAACAATAAAATACATAAGAAATTAATTTTGATACCAATTTTTTTTTCTTGTTAATATATTAAGAACATTACTAAGAGTATCTGCACAAAAGATGAGGATGTTTGGAGCTTTTATTTAATGATTTATTTATATTTATCATTTTTATTGTTTTTTACGCATAAATTAGCATAATTAGTATAATGAGTGGATTTTAAAAAAATTGACTACGCAGTCTCGCAGTTTACATCACAGGCTATGAACATGCCGATTTTCGGCGCGATCGCGCGATTAGCGGCCGAGATCAGAGGGGGGGGCCAAAAAGCCCCCCCCCCCCCCCAATGGACTCAAGAAGTGATCAAAATAACCCAATGGGAATAGGGTTAAAGGGAAAATAAAACAATCATGATTGTGATAGCATACAATTAGGTTACTAGAAATGAAAGGGGAAAAAAAAGATCTATTATACCAACCATGGATAAATCACGGCGTCATAATTATCATAGTTTTGTGTTATCGGGCGGAGGCCGGGGCGTAGCGACCAAGCGAGATTTTGCACTGTTGAATGTTGAAATTATGCATTCTAGAAAATCCCTCAGCCAAATATGTACGTTCTTTCCGCTATATTTCTTTCTAGCTATATTTCTGATTTTCCTGGGGGACGTGTCCCCCTATCGAGCCCAGGATCGCCGCCCCTGTCCATGATTACTACCAACATGAGTTCAAATACAAGCACAAGCGAGTTGGTATGAGCTGAATCCAAATGAAGGGCAAAATAAGAGTTGCGAAGCGGCCCTACCGTTAATTTAAATTTTGACTGTTGAGTATAAAGCTTCTATTTAAAAGACATCCAAAATATTGTACCCTTTTCAAATTTATCACTAAAGAATGATGACCTTTGTAG